ATATTGCCGTATGTAGCTGTAATTCATTTGTTTTGACTGCACCATAGTGTTCCATTGTGTCATCGTGTGACTATATCACAGTTTATTTATCCACTCTTCTGTCAACAAGCATTGGGTTGTTTCCAGGTTTTTGCTATTACAAACAGCACTACTTAAAACATCATCATATTTTTGTATCTTGGGTTTCCCTTGGTTATGTTCCAAGAAATGGAATTGCTGAGATATAGAATACGTGAATGCTCAACTTTCAAAATAATAGTGCATTATTTTTCTAGGTGGTGCCAAACAAATCTGCTATGTAACCTATTGAGTTTTTTATGTTCAGTGACCATATTTTTCACTTGTAAACATATTATGTAGTTCTTTATTGAATTTGCTTTTACATTTCCAGGCTGTATGCTGTCAGTGTAGCTTCCATTCCTTCATTTATCTGTCTAGTCAGTTTAAACATCTGTATATTATAATCTTTTTCAAATTGTGTAATTATCTTCAGTTATTGAAGTGCTAAGTCTGTTTGTTGCATCTTCTTAATACCCATATGCACTTCCTTGATTCATGGTTTGTTTCTTAATGTAGTTTATAAATTTTGGTTGCGAGCTTATCTTCAGCACAACTTTTTCCCCCTGGGGAAATCCTGGCTACCCTGGCTTAAGTGCTTCTACAAAGTGGCTTTCAATTGCTTCTACTGGAGCCACAGGGCTTTCAATGGCGTAGGATTTGTGTTTGTGTTACGTTGAAGTCTTGGTTCGGGGTTCCTGCATGTATGTACAGCATACATCTAGACTCTGCACCCTCCCACGGCACAGGCCTGGGGTTTTGCCTTCTCATGGAGGACTTTTGTTTTTTTTTTCTTAACTCCATCAAAGCCTCAAGTAGATGTCAATGTTCCTTGCCACTTCCACGAGTTGATGGGTCAAGTTTTCCTAGTTCCCTTCCAGCACCTGGGAAGCCCTTCAAGTCACTGAGCTTTATGTAGGCGATTCAATTACAGTTTTCAAATTTATGCATGCCCAAGACCAGTTATCCTATACCGGTGTAAACATGAAAACCAGTCCATAGTCCCTGGGGCCGCTATGCAGGCCTGAGAAACCTCTTGGGCTATGATGACATTAGCTCCCACTTTCCACTTCCTCTGGGTTTGAGCTCTTTCTTTCATTCTTTTGTTCAGCTACTGCTTCTATATGTAGATGAAATGAGGGGAAAAGCCCAAGTCAGTGTATGCAGGCTTGGTGCTAGAAATTCTATTGATACACTTTTATTAGAGCATCTATGTCATTCTTCCTTGAATTTTTGTTAATTGATTAACTCAGGATCTCACACTGAGGGCCAACTCCTTGAGGGCTGGCACATTTTACTCATCTTTGTCTCCTGCACATACATGACTATTGCATCAACGTATTAATACATAATACACCTCCAAATATTGCTGTGAAGTGCAGACATAATGAAGGAACAAATTAACGAATGAATGCTACCTGGCATCATCATCTTAATATATCCCCAATTCACTTTCCAACAAAACTTCATTTCTACATTTTATTCAAAGAACTCCCAAGGTGTAGAAAGGCAGAGACTTGTTCACAGTCATAGAAGATCAATCAAGGAACAGGGCAGAGAATTTGGGAATCCTGAGCCCTGGATAGCTGACAACCTGTCGTGTACTCCCCAGGGAGTGTGAGAGGACAGGACAGCTACCACGTGAAGGCAGTGTGCTGTGCACCTTACAGGATTTGTACACTCGCTTTTTTGTTTCAGGCCAAGTGAGCCAGGGTTTGTGAAATTTCACGAGTGAGAGCACCTCCACCAAAGTGGCAGAGCATAGGCGGCTTCTGTGCAAACTGGCTCACTCTCTGCTTCCGGAGCCTCTCTTGCTCCACCTGAAATACTCCTGCTATTCCAGTCATGAATGGGGATATATCACGATACAGAGCTTATGTTCTGAGGGAGCAGGTGTGTGTGTGTGTGCATGCACGTGTGTGCCTGCATGAGTGACGTGTGTGTTACAGCCTGCGTCCCTGGGAAAAGCAAACCAGCGCTCCACGCATAAATCAGCCTCAGCACTTACCAATCACACGGAAGCTGTCTGTGTGTCTGCCTCCCCTACTAAATGGTGAGTTTCCTCAAGGGAGGCATTATGTCTTCATCATTTTTGTACCCTCAGTGGTGGGTGAGGCTGAATCAGATTATCACAGATGAAGCATGGGACAAGATGCCCTAAACAGTCCGGCAGCTTTCCTGGGCCACGCTCTGTGTCTCTTATGTTAGCCCAAATCTCTGAAGATGCAGTGTCCCCTTTCTCCTCTTTCCAACAAGCAGGACAGATGCCAAACCAACCACCTCCCTCCTTGCTTAGCTTAATTCTCTATCGGCTGTGTATGTGGGTCTTAAGTAGGCCTATTCCAATCTTTGAGAGCTAGAACCAGTTTGAGGCGTCTTCATGAGGTATGTGGCAATGGTCTCCCCATATAGCTTGGGGTGATTAAAGAAATCGGCTTGGGAGAGACGCCTCCCTGTTTGTTTTCTCAGCCTTGGGAGGGGGCCCCACTCAGCTTTGCCCCAACCCTGGCCTCTCTCTGCCCAGGGCTATGAGGCACTCAGAGTCGTTGTATTCTGAGTGTGTGAAAAGAGCAAAGTGAATATGAGTCAGAGAAATAATTCCTAGGGCCAACCTCACCCTAGAATTGTTTCATTAAAACAGGGAGCTAGAGAGGGGGGCAGCAAGCCCTTTGCCAAAGTCTCCACACTGTTCCAACTTGCCTTTGACTCGAGGACTCAGCAAACACTGACACAGGGCTGACGAGCTGAGACGGGCCAATTTACAGAGCACTCGTCCATCCCAGGAAGATACTAAACATTGTAAATCGAGGCTCTTCAGTGCTTATAAAGTATATGAGCTGATCCTGCACCTCTCTCCGCCTACCACCCTAGAGTAAATTTCCAACGGGCAACATGCCCTCCTAAGAGGCAGGACAGAGAAAGTTTCGTCTGTACAGATGCCATTAGGTCAGTCAGACGGAGAGCCAAGTCAGTTGCTGTGTTCTTCAAGGCAGGGATCTTGAGTTCACTGGGGAATTTAATAACAGCTCCTGCTCTCTGTCACCCAGCTTTAGGGGCTTCTATTTAGGGGTTCTGTTGTTTAATCATATGAGCATGGAGAGACAACTCTGTTTTTCATAGCCTGGCCCTAATGGCACAAACATCTGAGTTTTTACAAACTTTTTTCAGGGGGTTTGCCCAATGAGTACAGCCCCAGCCATTTCCCTAGAACCCTGGAGTGTGTCACATGTTTCCCTTACAGCAGTGACTCCAGAATTTCTATAGAAGAGGGTCTTAGGGGCACCAATATTGGAAGTGGAGGCGAGGGAATTTGTCTTAAAGCTGGGCTTTTGTGAACTATGTGATAAGCTGGTTGGAAATGATCACCAGACAAGAAACAAACATAAAAGTATAATTAATGAAAAAAATATATACTGTGTTTACATCAATGAGATTCTTCTTTGGACATGAAATATGGGATTTGTTTTTTCTTTCTTATAGTCAGGCAAGTATTCCAGTTGTATTTTATAGCATTTGCTTTTGCTTAGCTTCTTCCTTCTAGATTATTCTGTGACTTCATTGGCCTGTGAATTTAAAATACATTATTTATTTAGCTGAAATTTACTTATTTATTTGCCGACTTAATTTGTTGGGACTTTGGGTACAAGGTTGATGCAGATGGGTGCAGAATAGGTAATATTGGCCCTACCAGTGTTCGTTGGCTCCTCAGAACTCTGGAAGGGTTGTTGTTGTTTTAGAATTAGCCTGACTGTACCTCTAGTAGAAGCACAAAGGATCAGAATGAAGCCAAACAGAGAGACTTTCAATAGCATAAAAGAGCAAGTCACTACTCCTCTCCGGATTTCAGTTTCCTATAAAATGAAGAGGTTAGCATAGATGACTAAGGTCTCTTTCTGCTAGCTCTATCTAGCTATCCACCCATCCATCCTCAGCAGATTGGATGATGGGACCTATTACTCAGGTTATTTTCCTCTATTTCACCTGTTTACTATGATCCCAGAGTGAGTTCTTTTGTGCCTCCCTGACCTCATGTTCTCCAGTTGCAAAGTAGGGACCTTTTCTTTGGCCTCTATTATACCCACAAGCATTGGCAAGGAATCTGAGCATCTCAGACAGGAAAGGTGATTTGGCCCATCCCTTCCTGAAGAATCTCCAGAGCACAGTCAAATCTAGGGAGAAAGACCCACATAAGCACAGGTGGACACTTTCTGTCTTTGGAGGAGGAAAAGAGAGTAGCTCAAATATGTGACCACCCAGGGCAGCCTGGACCACGACACTGGTACCAGGGCTCCACACACCTGCCCCCATGGGGCCTTGGTACTCTTACGTTTACAGAGTGTTACAGCAGTAAAGTCTGCAGAGATCATCTCCACAATCATAATTTTGGAGGATGATATGAGCTGTGATCAATCTTTATTAAGCCTGAGGCCATCTTTTTCCTTCAACAGTTAATACAAAGAGAATCTGTTAAGTGCACAAATCCAGAGCAAAGCCAGTTGAAGTAAACAGATGTGGCGTCTTCCCTCTTAGAATTTATAATCTAAATTAAACAGCACAAACTCACAATGGAGAAATAAATCCTGGACAGCATTCAAGACCATTGAGTCCAAAATTGATATTAATTGTATCCTGGCCGCAGGTTAGGGGCTTTTGATGTACTCGGGATGGCATGAGGACTGTTGGTTTGGATATGGGGCAGTGCTCTCAACAGGAATAATCGCTGTGTCATGCCAGTCAGTTAGAAAAGTTTCCATGCTGGAGGGAATTCTAGGAAGTCAACAAGGTTGACTTGACGTGGCAACTTGGGAGGAGAAGAGGTGGTGCCAGCAAGTAGTTGAAGGCAGAGTGGATGAGCTCCTCTAATGAGGACCAGAAGTTTTCAGAGCTTTAAAGTACTGTTGACTCTCTTTCTCTCATTATTCAGATGTCTCTGGAAGTCCGACTTCCTTCATGGGACCTTCCCAGGATATGTCCAATCAGATCCAGTATCTTCACCTTTTGCATGTGGTATTAGAATTCAAAGGGAGGTGTTAAATTTGCTCTGCCTCTTTTTTTAAATTATTTTATGGAGGTCATATTGGCTTATAACATTGTGTAAATTTCAGGCATACATTATTATATTTCAGTTTCTGTATAGACTGCATCGTGTTCACCACCAATTGTTTAGTTTTTATCCATCACCATACATATATATGCTCTCTCTACCTAAATTCGCACTGGCCTCCGGCACATATTTACATTTTAGTGGCTTAGTAAATGATACCCTCTGTGTTCATTCAGCAAGCAGACACTACATATCACATAGCCATAGAATGTTACAGGAGGAAGAAAGGTTAACGTTCCAACCCACTCATTGCACAACGAGAACACTGAAGTACGGAGACTTTGTAAAACTTGCCCAGGCGTCAGCGACTTTGGGAATATGAACATCGTGTTTGTCGGGGCAGTGCTGCTATTCCGCAGCCTTGGGTCTGCTCTGCCTTCCTGATGTGCTCCATCTCAGCCTCCCTTCCCTGTCCCGGCAGCCTCAGGTGCTTGCACCGTCCTGGTCCTCTGGTCCTCACCTCCAGTACTTACAGACTCCTCCTATTTGGCTCCAGCATGAGGGCAGCCGAGTAGAAGGAAAAACCGGCCTGCAGCAGACAGAGTGGAGGGGAGGACAGAGAAAGAGAAAGAAAAGAAGGCCTGCAAACAAATGAAACTTGTCTTGTGAACATAAAGTGAAGGACATTGATCACCTTGATTATACTGATTCTGAAGGCCGTTCACAAAGAGGAACTCCAGAGATGGTTAGACCAAGGCAGCCACTTCTGAAAGATACTATGAATTTGGATCTCTATGTTCCAGTATGCTTATGGAGAAAAGAAGCAACTCTTTAACTTATAAGTATTCTAGCTGTTCACTCTTTTAGAGCCTTTTTTTTTTTTTAACAGAAAGTACATTTCTCTGTCAGAGAATTCAATTCATCTACAGCTACAAAAGGATCATCTCTGGACTCATGACCAACATAATGATGTATATTTGTGAGTCTGGCTACTATTCCAGGCCAGGATCGGAGCATTCTGGACACTCTGAGACAGTGTAATAGGAGATAAAATGATGGAAACTTCAGTGCAAACAAAGGTTAGGTTGTTCATTTTAAAAGCAAAATTTTTTTTAAAGCTCACCTAGCAGAAGATAGGGTACAAGGCAGCAGTTTGTGCTTATGGAACAGCAGTTGAGAAAGCAAAACACAAAATTCAAATATCAAATGGCCAGTTATTTGTTGTTTTGTACATTTGTCTGATGCAAGCGAATTTGCTTCAACAACTTGGCAGCAGAAGCATACATTCCTGGGTTTATGTCTCAAAAATCACCAAAAACTCCTCAGTTTCCTCAAAGTTTTATTTAAAGATTCCTATCAGAATGTACCCAAAGATTCTCTAGAAAAATACGATTTAATTTTCTATTCATTGTGGTAAGTATAACAAAAATCATTAAGTGATATTAACAGTTTGATTGATTATTATACTACACTGGTTGTCTTCTCTATTGCCCTGTTTGGTGTCTATACCATTTGTAAAGCTTTATACTGACTTGTGTACAGATGCATAATTTGCATTTAGTTAATTGTGGCATTTGTGGTCCTTTTCTATAAAAAGCTGGTCGTTCAGCTGTTGGTAATGCAGGTGACTTAGTCTCTACTGGAAAACATGATTCAGCTTGCATCATTTTGACTTATAGCTCATTTGACAGGAATGAAAGAGTGCAAGACTGCCCTGTTTTTTCTCAGGTCTATAGAGACCTGTTGGTTTTAGTGGGTTATGTGTAGGACACAAGGATGTGACTCACCTATCCACTTAACAGTCATAAAAAAGTACACAAACAACTCAGCTTCAGTCATAACACTCATTGTATGGACCATATTGAATGTACATTATCATTTAGTTTTTGTGATTTTTACAGGAAAATGGACACTGCCCAGAGAACAAACAAAATATCTAGTAAGTTCATCATCAATGTCATTAACATAACTGTTTTCAGTGGTCATAGGACAAGCATGCTGAACCATGTGTTGTCAACTGAGTGTCACTGATATCTTCCTGCTTTGTAGAAGAGAAGCTTGTAGCTGCATTTCCCAGAATCTCCTCTGTATGGCTCCAGGAAACATCATCCAATGAGAGGCACTCACATGAGGAAGAGGGAAGAGAAGGAGAGAACATTATTTCCAGAGGCAGATGTAGGCAGGTACACAGAGAAATGCAAGTTTCAAATAGGTTTCAGATGGACTCTTTGAGAATTGCCTACAGGCTGAGGTAGGTGGTGGGAGCATCTAGAGATGCACACATTTGTAGTTTCCCAGATGTGCTCTTGAGAATCAGGTGCTTCAATGCTCTGGGCTGAAAGTGTTAACGATGGCTTTCTTGATGTTCCCTTCCCCAATGGTTGCATAATCCTTACTTTCCCATCTTAAAAACTCTTAATACTTGGAATGTACAGAGTAGCTTCTATTTTCCTGATAAAACCCTGACTGGGACAATAAGTAATTACAAAAAAATTTAATATAAAATTAGGAAAAACAGAGTGTATTGTGTTATAGGAACACCTATGAAGAGAACATAATCCAGTATTGGGGGACGGAGGAAGAAAGACTTCCTGAGAAAGTGGCCTCTAAGCTGAGACTTGAAGGATAAAAGGGGGTTAGGTAGTCAAAGTGCACCGAGTGGGGGAGACGGAGGCTGTCTCCAATTTGTGCAAAGACCCGAAGGCCAGAGGGAGCTTAGAGAGTGTTTGGTGCCCCATTGGAGGGGGGCAGGTGGGTGTTAAACCTTAATGGTAATAGGGAGATATTGCAGACTTTTAAATAGTAGAGTGCCATGATCAAGTCTATGATTTCAAATGATCACTCTGGCCCTATAGGATCAAGAAGGGATTTCAAGAGAGCAAGATTTAATGTGGGGAGACCAACTAGGAGGCTGTAGTAATGGTCCATATGGAAGATGTCCGTGGCCTGGACTTGGGTGGTGGCAGAGCGGATGGAGAGAAGGTAGCAAATACAAGAAATGTTTAGTATATGACTGGCGGGAGGGTAGAGAATGGGAGAAGTCAAGGATGACTCATTTCACATACGGAAACCGAAGCTTAGAGGGATTCCACAGCTCACCGAAGGTCACATAGCTTGGAAGCAGTGGAGTCAGGATTCAGACCTAGATTTGTCTAACTCTGGAGCCTTTGCTTTTAACTCTAAGCTCTATATCATACAAATTGGAACATAGTCACAGATGTTCAATTTTTAAAAAATAATTAGGATGAGGCACTTGTGGCTCACAAGATAACACAGTGGTTCTGCTGGGCTCTCTTCCTCTCCTATTCTATACTATATTATTTCCTAGTTGATTTAAGTTATTTTCATCAGTTTTTCCTCTATATTTGTGCAAATGTTGTTGTAATTAAAGGAAAATGGGTAAAGAAGATTTCTCCCCCTCACTAAAATTTGGGTTTCAATTTAAAGTAAAACCAAAAGGCATTTCTGCTTTACTTTTGAAGTGTATAAATCTGTAGCTCTGGAAGTTCTAGAGGCTAAAAGCCAGAACCAGCTGTCAGATTTTTTTGCCAAAATGACTAAGATAATGTGTAAGATTGGGAAAGCTGTAAAATAATTATCCCATATTACTCCCAACGCCCACCTCTTCTGTTATATTTTAGACATATTAAACAAGTCCAAAATAGTTGGAAACAAATACTGACTTGCCCATGATTCTAACTCCCACCTATTTGCTGCTGCGTCTCGAGCCTCCGTCTCTGGAACAATCTCTTTGCTGAGCTCCAGACACCAGAGGACATCCCCAGCCCAATGACTCAGGCTCCTTAAACTTTCCATATCCCCACAATCTCACCATCCCATACTGCTTTTCTTCCTGAAATCTTCATCAACCAAGTCAACAAAACCAGACACTTAGAAGTTATTTTAGAGTTCTTTCTCTCCCATTCCTCACATCTAATCAGCCACTAAATCCTGAAGATTTTACCTCTTAAAAACCTCTTTATTTTTTTCTTTCCTCTCCACTTCCACTATGGTTGCCTTGGTACAGGCCAGTGTTTCCAAATTCTTGACATATAACAATTTTTGTGATGCAGAAACAAGAAATTGGAATTCCCAGGAATTCCCCAAATCACGTTATTCTGTATTTTTCATAACATTTTACTTATGTGTTTTTAAATAATAAAGATTGACCACCAGGGGCCTGCCCAGTGGCGCAAGCGGTTGAGTGCGCATGCTCCGCTGCGGCGGCCCAGGGTTCCCCAGTCCGGATCCTGGGCTCGCACCGACGCACTGCTTGGCAAGCCATGCTGTGGCGGCGTCCCATATAAAGTGGAGGAAGACGGGCATGGATGTTAGCCCAGGGCCAGTCTTCCTTGGCAGAAAGAGGAGGATTGGCAGATGTTAGCTCAGGGCCGATCTTCCTCACATACACAAAAAATAAAAGATTGACCACCATAATAAACAACGAATAGTTTTTCTGTGATAGTGTTATACTAAACATTTGAAAGGTGTTCTGTAAAGAAGAAAAAGATATCATAATACATGCTTTTTACAAAGTACTGTGACAAAATTATGTATTTCAATAACATGAAAAATGACCTCTACCTAATATAGACACTTGATAATAATTAGGAGATAAAATAATTAGAAGATAAAATTAGAAGAAGGGGACATTAACACAAAATAAATGCCAAGTAAAAATCATTTAAAAATTGAAAAAACATCACAAATATTTAATATTTAAAAATTATTCTTAAAATTATAAGGCACACAAGAATGAATTTCACTGTCCAGTAGTCTTGCTCTTTGTTTTGGGATAAGCCTTCCAGATGTAGAAAAATGTCTTTCCTCTTGTATTGAGGTTAGTTGAATTGATTGGTTGAAGATGTATTCAAAAGCATCTTCAAACTGGGTGTTAGTAAACATGTTGCTTCAAATAAGCTCTTTTCCTTTTTTAAAAATGAAAATATTTTGTCTGCTTGCCCCGATTTTCACTTTGCCTTTGAAATAGATATTGCTTTTCTAAATTCAAATTTTAGATCAGTTTCTGGTCTTTTATTAGAGCGCTGTATAACAACATTAATCTATTCTTCTCTTTGTGTTTCTTACATCATGACATTTGCAAAGAACTATAGCTTATGGTGAATATTTAAACACTAGAAATGCCAATGACCATTTGGTAGCATTTAAATGATGTGACGTTCATACCTTCTAACAATGTTAACAGCACCCACAAGATTGCATGCCAAAATTGCCCATTTAGAGACTTACTTTGATTTCAAAACTTATTTCTTAGCACAACAAACACTCAGAATTTGTATAAAGTATACTATGTATATAAACTTACTAATATTTATTCTATTTGCAAGAATGACTTATCATTACCAGCAGACAGGGCCTCAGAAACACACTTATACCACGTGAACAGCCATAAACAAGACTGACAGATGAGATGGTGATTGCTTCTCTCCTACATACTCCTGCCCCACTTCCCAGAAACATCAGCTTTGATATTTGACTCTGTGGCTCAGTGCTTCCTGCTCTTGCTTTAGACTTGATGTTGAGTGGATTTCTTTGAGTCAGTAATATCTCTATGTTAATAGTTAAGCTCTAATTCTTATAGGAAAATTATAATACTTTCTCTCATTTTTCTGATTTCTCAACTATTATTACTTAGGTTGAGGATTTAGAAAAACACGAAATTTCTGAAGAAATGTCAGGAAGGACTTCCCACATGGAAACATGAGTATGGACCCCCATAATCTCTTAGTCAAATGATCCCTGTGCAGGTCACTGGCCTCTTGCCATGTATCCTTTCAATCTATCCTCTCCATTGCTTATTCTGTAAAATTGACATGCACTTAACAAATTGTATTGTAATTTTAAAATATCCTGCATTTCCCATTTGACTGCAAATTTATTAAAAGCAGGGACTGAGTCTTATTCACATCTTTATCTCTAATTTCTAGCAATGAATTGACGTATTTTAAGTCCTCAATAAATGTTTGATAAATTTAGATGAATTAAATTGAATTTGTTTGAAATAGAAAGATAGTGAGGACTTCTGCTTCTGGAAACCTGGTGGGCTGAGACAACAAGACACTTCCCCCACTACAAATACCCAGAAATTCGAGATAACATAGAACTAAAAAATTTGAAAGCAGAGCTGAGCTCAGAAGAAAAAGCAAGAAGGTCTCTAGGTGCTACAAACAAACCGACAGACAAACAGAAAACAAACAAAACCCTGAAAGTTAGAGCTGTAAGCACTGAAGTTGACATTGCAGGAGTTGGGACAGAAGAGAGGTGGTGGTGGGGATGTGTGTGAGGGAGAATGGTAAGGGAGTCTGCAGGGATGGTACAGTTTCAGACCAAGAATTAAGTTTAGGTTTTTATAACCACGGAGAGATAGAAGGCCATCTATGAAGATGGCAAAAAGCTTGTCACTCTCAGGAATGCTGAGTGAGAAGAACACTTCTTTTATTAAAAATTAAAGGCCAAGCCTGCAGCATGCACAAGATTGGAATCTAAATGTTATTGAATCATGTGGCTCAAGAACATATGGCTCCCAAGGCTGGGAAATTAACATAAAATTTGGAACTTGGCTAGCGATAACTCTAACTTGTTTGGCAAAGTAAATGTGGGACCACTCTAGAGGGATTATCTCCATAACTCAGGTTATACAGAACTTGCATAGAAAGTACAGTCCCACTAAAGATAAACTCACAATTAAAAATTACAAAACACACGAGGAAATTATCATGAACAAGAGCCAGTAAACATATTTTTAAAAAATTTCACCTAAAAATTGTACATATAGGAAAGTTAAGAGAGTATATTCTAAGAGTTCTCATCACAAAGGAGGAATTTCTTTTCCTTTTTTCTTTCTTTTCTTTCTGTTGTATCTATATGAGAAGATGGATGTTAGCTGAACCTATTGTGGTAATCATTTCACAATATATGTAAATCAAACTATCATGCTGTATAACTTAAACTTATACAGTGAGGTATGCCAATTATTTCTCAATAAAACTGGAAAATAATCAAATAATTATAAAGATAAAAGAAAGAATAGAAACAATAGAAATGCACTATTTTAAAAGGCAAAACATAGAATTTCTAAAAATGAAAATGTCATTGAAATGAAAAATTCAATGAACTATTAAAGTGACAGATTTAATACAGTTGGAGAGAGAAAGAGTGAACTAGAATATAGAGCTTAGAAAATTACCCAGAATATCTATAAAGGAATAATTCAACTGAAATCAACTTCTTATTAGCAATAACA